GTGACATACTAAAACATCCAGCTGCTCATCATGCTATACTTTTAGTGATGCAAAAAGGAAACAGTAAAAAGGGCAAAAATGTGCTATATAGTTGAACACCGCTTCTAAGGTTAGTGCTGAGTCAAGATCTAGCGCACCGGTAAGAGAGTCACAGGCGAGGCATATCGCTTGGTGTATGTATTATTAGAATGGTGTTGGATTGGCACCGTATAACGAATGCATCCAATTATCGACCTTCCATACGATCAAGGGTTCTCGGAAGCGTTGTGATCGATATTTTTTTTTTTTTTTGCTACGCGCCAATATCATGCTTAATGACATACTCACACCTCGCCATTAGATCATGAGATATTCTTCCAATAGGCTTGCGTAGCCATGTAATACAATTTGAGTGCAACTTCTGAGCCTCAACTGTTGTCTTTCTACACTCCATTCGGTTTTTTGGACAATCCTATTTTCCATAATGGAGTAATCTATACATCTAACGATTTTATTAGATTGCAACTTTACTCTATCGTTTCTGATCTCGACTGGTATATGGTAGCTACTTCTCATCCTAAAAGCTTCGACATGTTCGTATCGACCTAAAAGGACCACCTATTTATATTCAACTTGATGTCATCCTATTTTGTTTCTCTAAATGCCACTGCTCAGCAAATGTTGTGAAAACCGGTCATTATGATCTCTTACGCTCAATTCTTATTGATGATCGGCTTTTTGTAGTTTATGAAAGAGTTTTTAATCCAGAGAAGACCATTTGAAAACTTTTGATGTCGTTTTAAAACAAGGCTCGACGATCTCGATTGAGTGACGATAACCGGCTATGAACCTGAGGTCACTTTTGATAAAATTGGTTGATACGAGGTCTATAAAACGAATGTTAGAAAAATCACGCCACTTGCAAAGCTGTTATCCGTTCCACGACAAAAGACCTTACGTGATTTGAGACAAGGCAAGAAACTTGTTTTTTTTTGCCAAGTTGTATCATCGTATGACTATCACAATCGCAGCCGCCTCGAGCGTGTCATTTGTCCTTTTCTCCGATTTCTGCCCGTTCAACCGTTTCATGACATACTCGTACCATTCGATATGCCATAGAAGTAATGATCGGGGCTGGGAGGACGAATTTTAATGCTGCCTTTTACTTGAGGTATAATTCGAAACGTAGTGTTGAAAAAAAACTTTCGAAGAAATCAGACAGTAAGACGAATAGATTGGGTTTGCATTTGGTGAGGAGTGCCTTTTTTTTCAACGAGTTTGTTCCTTGTTCCTTATGTAGTGATGGTAACTGGTCCAGTAGGAGATGGGCGAGTTTGTATACTCACTAAGACAAGGCCAACATATGTCGCAATCGACCAAAGATGCTTTATTCCTGGTGGTCGCAAAAAAGAAAAACGTAAATTGTGTCGGCTAGTGTCATGATCAACTTTCGTCGAATCGCATATCCAAATAGCTAGATTAATAAGATTGTTACCAGTTCATGTTAGAATGTCGTCAATTTTCCTTTTTCAAGGCAACTGGATTGTGTGTATTGTTACTTGCAATATGTGAAGTATCCCTTTAGATGCGTGGCGATGAAGGAGAGAATGGGAATCATTTCTGGTACACCATCTCTAGTATATCCGTTTGAATAAGACATGCTTGATGTGCTGCATCCTTTATCGTATGAATATATCTAAGGGGCGGGCGTAGAAAGAAAAAAATAGTTTTCTAATAGTGCATATTGTACAATAAGGAACACCGCATTCAGTCAAAATTGAAATAAAAAGGTAGAACGTTTGATCTTTAGTTCACTCTACATATATGCAGTATCGGAACGGTAATCTGAACACCGGAATTGAAATCATAGGCTACGGAGGAAAGGTAGAAAGATCCATTCCGCTTGCAGCGTGCACCCAAAAAACAATTGTTTTTCTTTTCTTCTCTTTGCAACCAGGTAGATATTAACATGATCTCTGAACAAAGCAATAGGTGACCAGAGAACTCTATCATCAAAGTCAATATGCGCAAAGACAATGAGTTGTTTTTTTCAATCTTTGACCGCCTATGCTCCGTGCTTATAGCCTTTTCTGAGCAGATTAAGACAATTTTGAGAGCAAAGAGAAGAATCATCAAGCAAACGACATCGCATTAGACGAAAGATGATTGGATGCAAAGCCCTGACGATGAGAAAGACGTACTTGTGCGCTGCGCTGCGCGCTAAAGGCAATCAATCCAATTGCGATAGTATCTAAAGCTTGAATAGCCCGGTAAATCGACACTCACAAGGGGTAAGAGCAGACGCAAAGCTACGAAAGCAAAGCAAGTTTTGGATTTGCTGCTAAAACTGTTTTTGGTGTTCTATCGCGGTCGAATTCAGATCGTGTTTTGATGAATAAACTTCATCATCTTAAAAACGACTAAAATCATAAAAGCTCTTCAAGGATATTGAAATCATCATGCAACAAACAGGTGAATCAGGAGGAAGCCAGCAAGCACCAATTGCTAAACCCTATTATCAAATCAAGTCACCCTTTCCGCTTGAGCTTGACAGGCGCTTTATAGATCAAAATAAAGGCAAGAGTATGGCACTGCAGAGGCGAAGACAGAAAACACCTTCTGAAAGCGTTCGATGTTGTAAGTATGAAGAGATGATTTAATGTGATTCGCACAATGTTAACAAACTATCTCCTCCTCATAGATTGGGCAGTACTATCTACACGACCTGCGGATGTTGGGAATATGTTGAATAAAGCAAATTTGGTCTTCCTCCACCTTGATCCAACTATGGAGGAATCATTGGGCTATAGCGTAGAATCGCTTATGGGCACAAGTGCATTGGATTTAGTTCATCCTAATGATGCCAAATGGATTGAAACGAACATCTTGCAATACGTAATGGGTAGTAGAAGCGAAAAAAAGGTGCTTCGATGTACAATGAAAAGCGTCTTATCGATGGGTAAATACGTTCATTCTTCACTTAACGATCGAAAGTTAGATTTTTCCACTTTTACACAATCAAAAAAAGAAGA